CGGTGCCCCGCTTATGCAAATGAAGCCCGGGAAATTCAAATCCCGGGCTTCATTTGCAAGTGCGGTATGCCTACATTACCCTTCTAGTTCGAACTAGGGGGGTAGTGTAGACATACCCGTAGATACTAACAAAAAGATTATTAATGTTTAGATTGTATGCTTACTTTTTCTTTTCTTTGCTTACTATCTCTGACTTTTATGTCTAACACTTACAATCATAAGAATGGCCATACTGGGTCAGACCAAAGGTCCATTTAGCCCAGTATCCTGTCTGCCTAATGTGGCCAATGCCAGATGCCTCATAGGGAGGGAACACAACAGATAATCCTCACATGATCCCTCTTCTGTCACCCATTTCCTGACAAACAGAGCCTAGGGCACCATTCCTATCCATCCTGGTTAATAGCCATTGATGGGCCTAACCTCCATGAATCTATCTAGCTTTTTTTTTAATAACTTAAAATCTATCTTTTTTATGCTAATAATCTTATTTTAATGTTTTTATCCTTACCAGTGAGATTGTTTGTTTGAAGTGCTTGAGGAATCTGTTCAGGTTAGAAAGGCTGGTGCCTGTTCACTTTTCTTTGGCAAGCTAATAAGTTTTCATTGTTCAAGAGGTCTTGAGCTGTGTAAGACAGTCTATTTGTAAGTGCAAAGCAGAAAGGGACTTAGGAGACTTGCTTGTGTTTTCCTGCATATAGTTCATGAGTGGCTTGGAAAACATTCATGCAACATAGCAGGGTATGCCTCTGCATGTTAACAGTTTCTGGAGGGATTTGCTGCTCATCACTGACAAAACAGTGTGAGAGTCTGGAGAATTAGGGGGACACAGCAGTTCCATGGTTCTAGGTTGTATCTGTAGAATCCCATCACAGTGGTTAGTTCAGATTACTGCCTCACCCATTCACCCAGTTTTATCATTGGTTGTTTGGCAGAGAAGAGTATGTTTGATTAGATTATGTTTTTCATGTATTGCTTGCATTTGTAAAGCTGTGAAAAAGTCTTGATTTTATGTTCTTAGGTGAATGAGTATTATTAGGTGACAATGGTGTTCTTATTTTTTATGGTTCCATCTGAAATCTTTGTTTTCATATCTAACTGTATGAGGATTATGTTCTTTTGAAAAAAAATTGGAATCTTTCACTGGGTCTTTAGCTGACTACCTTGTGCAGATCTCATAAATTAAACAGACAGGTCATACTGTTCAGAGTGATTTTCAGGGAACACTGAAGTGCTGCAGGAAATGATCTTAATGACTCAATAGGAGACACTTTCCCCTGTGAGTCTAGTGAAATGTAAAACAACGATGCTATCCTTTGGATTACTTGTCACTTTCCACAAGAGGTGTTGCTTCTGGTCTGAATTGTAGGTGAAATTCCAAGCTCTCACAGGGAAGTTTTCCACTCGGAGCTGAAATTGGTGATGTGCAGTAAGAAAATTCATAGTTATTTTATTTTAAAAATTTACACAAGCTCTGTTTCTTTGGACCATAGTAAGAAGAAACTGCATTTATATACCAGGATTCCCTACAAAGGAGAGTTAAGAAACTATTTCCATCTCTCAAGAGCTTTTCTTCTGGTGCTCATGCAGAGATCACATTACATCCAATGTGACTGTTTAACATACCTTTGACTGAGCTTGCACCCTTTGGCTGTGTCTAGACTGGCAAGTTTCTCTGGAAAATCAGCCGCTTTTCCGGAAAAACTTGCCAGCTGTCTACACTGGCCTCTTGAATTTCCGCAAAAGCACTGACTTCCTAGTGTAAGAAATCAGTGCTTCTTGTGGAAATGCTATTCTGCTCCCGTTCAGGCAAAAGTCCCTTTTGCGCAAAGCTTTTGCGCAAAAGGGCCAGTGTAGACAGCTCAGATTTGTTTTGCGCAAAAAAGCCCCGATCGCGAAAATGGTGATCGGGGCTTTCTTGCGGAAAAGTGCGTCTAGATTGGCACGGACGCTTTTCCGCAAAAAGTGCTTTTGAGGAAAAGCGTCCATGCCAATCTAGACGCTCTGTTCCAAAAATGCTTTTAATGGAAAACTTTTCCGTTAAAAGCATTTCCGGAAAATCATGCCAATCTAGACGCAGCCTTTTAGTTTGAAAACTAGGATCCCTTGTTAGCTGACCCTTGGATTCCCCTGGATTAATACTACTTGAATTTACTGAAGATGAGTTTAATAACCCAGTCCAGGGTTCAGTCCAATGACATGAATAGGAATATGTGTGGTGTTGGGTGAAAGGTCTTCAACCTCTTTGTGGAAGATGAGAAGAAATGTAAGAGAAACTTAGCTGCAAATTTCCTGCGCTTCTAGCCTTTAGATTTAAAAAAAAAAAAAAACCATTCTGCTGTTATTTTAAATGTCAATGTGTTCGGAATCTTCTCTTTGTTCTAATAAAGATTTTTGGCTCGGAATACACTTACATTTGTGCTATCCCAGTTTCCCCAGTCGAGCAATTTTTATCTAAAACTCTTCATTTCAATGCAATAATGAAAATTTAAAGTTTTAAACTTGAATTTTTATATTCACAACATAGCCCTTGCCTTCTTACATCCAGTAGTCTTAGAACACTCATATATCACTGACTGCATTGGAATACAATATATGCAGCTGCATTAGAATCAGGAAGTGAAAACAGAGTTGGGAACTAGAAATAACTAGCCAATATCAGTATACTTCAAAAGTAGGGGTAGGGAGGAGTTCTTCCGCCAGAAATGAAGCAATTGCTTTCAAAGATGTTGAGAAGCAGCAAGTGTATTTGTATACTTAAACAGTAATATTTTACAAGTTTAAAACAATGAATTAATTTAGAGTTATCATATTTGAACTTTCAAAAACCATATAGTATATAACACATTAATATGTGAGTTGGTAGATACTAATACAGCTATGTTCCCTCTCAGGAGAGTCCTCTTTCTTTGAAAGTTCAAATATGGTAACCCTAAATTCTACTCTCATTATGTGAACATTACAGGGCAGTTTTTTCTGGTTTTTCTAGGTTGGCCTAGAGATTAATGAGCAGGGATACGGAAACATTGCCCTTTTAAGGAGATGGAATGTGGGGAATTCTGGCTTTTTATAGTAGAGCAGCTGTATTTCTCTATTTGTGCAACTGATCTTTCCCTTCGATGAGTGTTAGTTTTTGCAGAAATTACCAGAATCTGCCCTTTATTGCAGTGAGGAACAAGACCCAGCCTTCTATCTACAATGCCACTACACGTTTTGCACTTTTTCCAAAGTTTAATGCATTCCGTTCTGCAGAGGGCACAGAGGAGCAAGCTTTTTAGCAACCTGGCTGCATGAGCTTCCCGGGGTTACGTGGAGAGCTCTGTGGCCAAGCTGCCCTCAAAGTTGGGGCATCCACACCCCACGTGCCACCTCCCCGGAAAGGCCGTTAGGGTCAGGCAGGGCCAGGCAACTCCGGAAGGGAGGTGGTGCTGGCCGCCCCTGGCGCGTACTGCGCAGAGAGCTCAGTACAGCGAGGGCCGGCTGCTGACCACAGCACGGGGCGGGCAAGCTCATTCCACGCAGGCGCACTGTGCTGAGCGCAGGCTGCAAGTGGCCATGGAGGGGAGGGGAGGTTCCTGTTCTCCTGTCGCAGTTAGGCAGGCGGAGTGCGCCTGCGCGCGGGAGGTGGCGGTGGAGGAGGGCGGGGCTGTATTTTGAACGCCTGGGATGCGGGTGGCTCACTATTTGGCAGGAAGGTGAGGAGGCATCTACCCTGGCCGCGGAACCAGCGCCGGGAGCGGCGGGCAC